TTTTTTTTATTTATTATCTTATTCGACCTGCATGTTATACGATTTAAACTTAAGATTTTTATTTTTAATGGAAAAAATTACTATTAAATTACTTAAGTTGTTAACCTATTGTATAATTTATTAGTTGATGAATAAAATAATAAATTAAAGAACTAAAAACTATCCATTAATTAAATTTCTTTATAAATACCTCTAAAATTGTCTTCTTCCTCAATTATCCAAAATATGAACCCATGCAAACTAATTTAATGATATATCATTACTCAAAACATTAAAAAAAATTATTTTAAACTAAGTTAACAATTATATCATCACTTAAAATCACTAACTAAAAGATGGAAAGAAGTGCAATTTACAAAATTAAGAGATAAAAAAATGTTAAAAATAATTTGAAGACCAAAAATATTAAAAATGCAAAGTCTACTACCAAAACACACATTTAATCAAAAAAATAAATACCTTCATTCCCTTTTTTTTAATAGAAAAATTAGTTAACATTTTAAACACATAAGAAATGAAATAAAAAAAAGAGCCTACAAACTACTTGAACACACAATCCACGAGAGTTTGTTTCCCCTACTCAATGGCAATAACCACTATGACCTGGGGATCAAATAAATATATTTCTCCCTATTCTTTCTTCTTTTTCTTCTTCTTCTTCTTATTTATTTTATTTTATTATTTTTTTTAACAAGGTAATAATTAAAAAGATAGTATGAATTAATTATTAATAGCTGGAGATTCGATTTCTAGACTAGATGAACATTTCACCTCTCAAATAAAGTGCACAGTTATTAAATCACTTTTTTATGAAATTCATGACGATAATAGAATTTGAAACTTCGATTATCTCACCCAAACACTTAAGCTTTGGGTCGAGCCATTGGACCTAACCGTCCGGTTCATCCTTCTTCCTATTCTTTCTTGAGAAACAAGATTAAAAAAAAAAAAAAATGCCGTCTTTGAAATAAATAAATATCTTCGGGAGCCATTATCAACACCGTACTGTTTCTCCTCTGAGCTCGCTCTCTCTTTGGATTCGCCGATTTCGCATTAGCAACACGGCAGCATGACTCACCAAGGAGAATCCTCCTCCGACTCGTGAGTCAACTCACTGATTTAATCTTCATGCTTTGCTCTCTCTCTCTCTCTCTCTCTTCCTGCGATTTTTGTTTTTGATGTTTTGGTGTTTACAGTTAGAGCTGAATTCTGTTTGTTAATTATTTATTTATTTATTTTGATTTTGATGGGGGGGAATTCAGGAAATCGAGTAAGAAAGATTACTCGACGGTGATTTTGGAGCGCAAGAAGTCACCAAATCGGCTAGTCGTGGATGAGGTGGTGATGAGGATGCCCCAGCAATCTTTCTTGCAACAGTTGCACCCTCGGGCAGGGATGAGGATGGCAACGATCCACTATCGAGCTTTGACAGAGATGGAGAGACCGGGGTGATAGCAGCATTGATAGAGTCACCACCCCCCTCAACCCTGACATCAACGTTTGTAT